CTCCATTAACATACAAGTTTTCATTTAAAAATTAATGACTTAGGAGTTCAAATTGAATTCCTCTAAGGGCTCCCTTACTCTCCATGACCTACAAAAAGGAATTTTAAATCATAACATATCACTTAGTGTTGCTGATTTCATGGCATAGCACAAAAAGTGGATGAATTTTACGTATCAGTTTAGATTTCAGCGAAGAATTTCAAAATACAGCACGCACAACACAGTGTACAAAACGGTTAAAATTTATAATACATCTAAGTGGACATTACAAATTCAAAACAATTGGATGGACAGAAAACTGGGTAAAGGTGATTCATACCTTTCCAGGAAAAGACTTGCAAAACTAAAATAAGTTCTTTTAAGTATTGGAAATATAGGCAGTCTTGGCTCTAAATTGGCTGATGCACAAAATTTGATTCTTGATTTTCTGCCAGTAGTGAAAAATTGCAATCAGCAACACTTTCAGGGCAATATAACAAACTATAAAAATGCCAGACCTGGGCAATCTTAATTATATACCCAAATATATAAAACTCATAAAGAAGCTCACGCATTCACACTTAACTTTTCACATTAACACTCATGGCATCTTGAGAATAAAAAATGGTACTTTACACATACCATTTGTAGCACAATTCAGATAAATGTTGTACACAATATCTGAGACAATTGAAAAAAGAGAAAAAAAACTATGTCTTGCTTGATCTACAACACAAGAGAGGTCAGTGCATCCTCTGAGGACTGCACGTAGTCAGATGTGTTGTTTCACTGCGCTTGGGTGGAGGAGGCGGCGGTCTTTTCTTTGCCGCTGCTAACGCAATGGCACTTTGTTGATTTGGCACAGATGCTGGCATAGCATACTGAGCCCCAGTCCTTGTATCACAGCTTGGATCCGGTATTCGGTTTAGAACATTTTCATACAGATTGTCCAATTCATCTTCACTGGTACCATAATGCTCTTGTACCCAATTGCTTACATTGGTTTCCCTATAATCCGCCACTGGTGGTGGAGGATCTCTAAAACCGAGCACCTAGAAACAAAGACAAAAGAAAATTGCATGAGATGTTGAGTTCTCTCTCCTACTCGTCATTTACAAGAAAACATTCCCAGCTCGCGGTACTCACCTCGTGCGGGGTGGTGGTAGTGTCCTGCTTGCATTTCTGCGCCACTTGCCACTTCCTCTGCATGACGCGCTGCAGGTCCTTGAGGAAGTCGGGCTCTGGCTCGGGCAGTGGGCCCGAGCTGAGCCGCGTGTGCTCGCTGCGGCGGGGCGGCAGGGGCTGCGGCTTCCGTGCGAGGAGGGGCGGCGGTATCACTTCCCCGCTGTAGATGGGCTGCGGGGGCACCCGCAGGGGCGGCTGCTCGTCACTCGGCGAGGGCAGCTTGAAGGTGATTCGCTTCTGGTGGCCCAACGAAGACGTCTTGCGGCCGCCAGTGACCGCCGCGTCCTCGCCCAGGTTGAAGGTGATCTTCTTCTGGCCACCGTTCTGGTGGGGCATGGAGCCCGTGTGCCCGTAGATCTTCTCCCGCGATCCGCCGTTCCTCAGCACAGACTTGCCCTGGAGTATAGGGTGCGGAGGCAGCTCGGGCATTTCAGGGGGCATGCTGGGCAGCGACTCGTACTGGGAGAGGTACTGGTGCGCCAGCATGGGCTGGTGGCGGGGGAGGTCGTACTGCACCTCTTCGGGGCTGGAGCTGCGCGGCGGCAGCTGGAAGGTGATCTTCTTCGCCGGGGCCGGCGGGGGAGGACTTGGAGGCGGTGGGGGAAGCGAAGCCAGCGAGAGCGAACTCCCGCCGTGCTCCCCGTTGCACAGGTCGCCGGGGGCGGGTGGGGGCGGTAGCGAGTCCAGACTGAGGGTGCTCTGCGACAGCTCCGGGGGCGGCGGTAGGGGCAAGCTTTCCAGGTCCGAGCTGGAGCCGATGCCGTCTACGTCGTCCACCGGGCCGGGCATCATCAACCCGCACGTCACCGGGCCCGGCATGAGGTTGGGCGTAGCGTACGTCACGGACGCGTACAGGATGGGGCTGAGCGGCGCCGGCGGTACGGGGGAGGCCGTGGGCGTGTGCCCCGAGGACGCAGGGCTCATAGCCAGGGGCGTCGCGCCGTCCGCGGCCATGGCCATCATGGGGCTGAGTGGGCCGGGGCTGGGCGTCGCTACCGGGCTGGCGTGGCTGGGCGACCGCGTGCACCCGCTGTACGTCGTGTGCCGCTTGAGCGTCGACGAGTTGCTCCCACTGCTGCCGATGCTCGCCCCGTCCGCATCCGTCATCGTGGACCTCCTCCTGCTGAGCCGCCTTGTGAGCGTGCCGCCGCCGCCGCCGTTGTCGTCCTCGCCGTTCTCGATGATCTGCCTGGTGGTGCTGGTGAGCGGCAGCGAGGGGATGGCCGAGGGCTTGCGCTTGATGGTGCCCGACGGGAACTCGCACTCGAAGCCGCCGCTCCTGGAGTCCGCGTCGTGGTCCTGCTCGGTGGACGAGGACCTGCCCGCGTCGCTCAGGCAGCCGCTCGACGAGGACGACGAGGCTCCCGACGACGGCACGATGCCGAGGCCACCGAGGCTGCCCAGCCCCGGGGGCGACAGCATGGACTGGACGTGGATGGAGGCGACGGAGCAGCTCCGCGCCTTGGCCAGCCTGTCCAGCTCCTCCTGCGCCAACTCCTCCAAAAGGGACCGGTAGTTCTCCTGCAGCTGGCGGCCGTACTGTGGGACACAACAAACAGGTAAGCATATTGAAGTACGAGGGCGCAATCACCTGCAGTAAAGCGGCGGCAAGCCTGTCGATTTGTGCAGTGTTATTGCAAAATGCGCGCCCGCCAACTATACGTTGTGCTTACCTTCGCTACCCTAATGCCCACCACCCATCTGTGCAGCGTTTCCACGTCGTCGGCGCACAAGAACTTGATATGCTTTGCTGACTTGGGCTGCTGCAGTTTTGGGTGTTTGATGGCGAAGCAGAACTCGGTGGGGGCCTTGTGCTTCTTCTTCCAGCCGACACCGTAATACACCTGCAAAAGGACACAGTGCGCGGTTAAGGTTCGCCCTCTTATTAGAAATTCTACGCGAGTAGCAGAGAGGAGAAGGTCGCGGCTCCCCCTCAGAGGCGGACGGGGAAAAATTACTTCGCCACAACAGAGGGGGCAGAAAGCCTAAATGAAATGTCTTGGGAAAGCCCTCAGGGACGAGCATCAGTCTCCTCATTTTAAGAGACTTGTCTCCTTGGAAGAGCAGAGCGGCAGAGAACTGGAGCCAGGCTGGCGCTGCCAAGCCGCGATTCCATCTTTCCTGCCGCCAGAATACACTATACTTCCCACCTCCGCGCCCCGCGCCCTCCCCACCCCTTTCCCTTCCCCACGACACCATATGCTGCGCTGAAGCAGCTGAAGCCCTGCCCCACCCTCCGTACTCCTCCGCTGCTGCCGCCTCTCGGCTCTGCGCTCGAGAAGACCCGAGGGGAAGGTCCACGGGCAAAAAAGAAAACAATAATGCACTCGCAACAATTGTGGATCGCGGATGGAATAAATCCTTGACAAGCAAGACGGCTACACGAGCCACACGAGACGCTGCGGCGGCGGAAGTACATTGCCAGGTAGAGGGGCGCGACCTTCCTCCCCACGAGAGCGTCGCGCTCTGCGCCGCCCTGCGCCGGCGGGGGGCCGCGCGCATCTCGAGACAGATTTAAGGCCATCCCCCGCGACTTCGCTTTACGGATTTACGAGGGGCGTAACGCACTGCATGGGCGTGGCGGGGCGAAGTCGCATCCCGAACGCGAAGAGGCGCGCCGCGGGCATCGCCAAGTGCGACGCCATAGATGACGGGCACGTGCGAGTTTTACGACGACAGACAAGTCGAATTGAAGGATGTGGCTGTGGCGGTGCGGTCGGCCGGCGGGGCTCGGCGGGGCGGGGCGGCCTCTGCAGGGTGCGACCCCCCCGCCGGGCCGGACCCCACACGTCTCGAGTTACTTAGTCCTCCGCGGCGCGGAATTCGTAAATGCTCTAACCTAGAGGCCACGCCCAGGTCGGAAGGGGAAGACCCCCTGGAGCGCCCCGCCTCGAACCGGGGCCCGGCCGAGCCGCGGTTAACCGCAGGCGAGGCGCGTATCGTATCGAGTGTTACCTGATTGACGTCGAACGTAGCCAGGCACACGAGGTCGCGGGAAGACACCTTGGCCTTCTCCTTGGGGTAGTAGTAGAGGCCGGAGGCGCGCAGGACGCAGTGGTGCTTCTTCCAGCCCTTTTTCGAGTCCGACTTGATGTACAGCGGGCCCTCCACCTCGGGGACGCCGACTCCCGACGACGAGAAAAACTCCTGGTGGGGAAAAAGGCGCAAAAACACATACGTCAGACAGTGAGTGTGGACGGGGCGGCCTATTCGGTCCGTGCAGCACCGAGCCGGCCGCCGCCCCTTCTCTCTCTCTCTCGAGCGGGGGCGGGGGCGGGACAGCAACGCGCCCGTAAGTTTCCGACAACAACCCCCGTCTGTCGCAAGCGTCGCCAGCCCCGCCGGAGCAGCGAGTGCGAGCAAGAAGGCTGCTCCCGCTGCAACTTCGGGGCAGGTGAACCGAGCCGAGTCGCGAGCGCACCCAACTTGCCAGACAAAACATCCCCGCCGCGCAATGGCGGGCATAAATCAGCACAGGCCACTCGGGCACGCCAGGCGGTCGTCAAAGTGGTGTAAAGAAAACTGTTTCGGTCGCGGGAGCTCACCTCCAGCAGCAGCGCCCTCGCGTGATCGTCGAAGTCGGCGTAGCCCTGCCTGCCCAGGAGGAAGAGCTCGGGCTGCAGGAAGAGCCGCGTCCTCTCCTCGGCGCGCTCCAGGAAGAGCAGCTTGTTCTTGGAGTCCCGCGTCCACATCATCAGATTGTCCACCAGCAGCTCGTGGTCCTCGTAAACGCGCTCTGGAACACGGAGGGGCGGGTTGAGAATGGCTACACGGCCCCGAGCTGGCGCGGCGCCAAAGCGGCAGCAGCAGAACACTCACCCATGTGCAGGTCGGGCAGGTGCTCCAGCACGGCCCACTTGGGCTCCAGCGTCACGTGGTTCTTATCGGCCAGCAGCCTCGTCACATGGCCCACCGTCATCTTCTCGTCGACGAGCAGCGACTTGGCCGAGCCGTCCGACGTGAACACCTTGATGAACAGCTTCTGGACCGCAGCCTCACGCATCTTCTCCAGCGCGATCCGGATCTTCTCCGCCTTGACGGCGTCCATCTGTGGGCGAGAGGCAAATTTAAAAATCAATATCCCTCTCCGACCGAGGAAAATTTTATACGACGCATAAAATGTTTTGTGGCTGTCCAGCGCCGCCTTGGCCCTTCGTTTTCCTATCCCATACTTCATTTCTCCGATTCTAGATTCACGCCCGTCCCAGCCCGTCCCCGTCCCGTCCGCCTCCTACACCGCGGGGCGGTTACGCCCTGTGTGTTCCAGCCAGGCTCCAGCCGGGCCACACCAAGGAGGTTAGAATGACATAATAAAGTACCCCCGTCGTCCGAGCGACACAAGCGTTTTGGTTTGCTTTATAGTCCGCGGCCGGGCGTGGCGCTGGTCCGGCCCAGCCCTTCTCGATGCGTTCGGTTCTCACACAATGCCGTACCTGCGTGGGCGAGGGCGCGAGGCAGGCGTTGTTCTGGCCGCCGCCGCTGCTGCAGCCGGTGCTGCCGCCACTGCCGCCGCTGGACGCCGAGCTCTCACTCGACAGCATGGACACATTGTCGGAGAAGGCAGAGTCGTTGTCCGGAGAGTCGGTCCGCACTGCAACAAGGTTGGAGGTGCATGTTAGCCGTTGTCAAGCTGAGCCCGGGTCATTTGGACCCCCAAAGTCAGCCAGGGCCCGCTCCGTCTTGTCCGCCCGCCTACTCACCCGAGCTGGCCTTGCACATGTAGTCCCGGTGGCTGTCCGAGTTGGAGCGAGCATGGATGGCGAGGCCCAGGCCGAGGCCATGGCCGCCGTTGGTGGCCGAGACCGGCACGGACGTCCGCTTGTTGGGGCCGCCGCGGCCGGCGTTACCCTCCGCGATGGCCTCGTCGCACTGAGACTCCAGCGCGCACAGCTCCCCCAGGATGGCGTCCAGGTCAACGTCTTGGGAGTCTGCAAGACAAAAGGTCATCGTCAGATCAGACACACACGCTCTGGCGAGGGCGTGTCGTTGGCGCTACCGCCGGCAACGAGGTGTCGGGGCGACACACTTACGCCCCACAATAAATCGTATTTTAACCGGGCAGGGAAACCCGTGACAGGACTCACACACCACCCTCCTGACTTCCAGTACAAAGAGCGAGCCAGGGCCGTGGAGGCCGCAGCAGTGCCCACGACCGCGTCGTAAAACACGACTCCGACGGACGACGCCGTCGGCCTGTTACGGGCCCGGCGCGTCGCCCAGGCAAAGACCCCCACCACCCACCACCCCTCCAATAAATATATATATTTTTGAAGCGTCGCTTTCGCTTTGGTCCTCTTCCCTGGCAGAGCCCTCGGACCGTACCGACAACAACGCGACCATCCCATAGCATATCAGCCCCCCACCCCCTCCTTCTTTTTAGGTTATTATTTTTGCGTTGAAGCGCGCCGGCCGGAAGATCTCATTGTCTGCGTCCCATGAAAAACAATTTTCATATTTTCCGGCGGCGGCGGCGGTAGCCCCCTTCCCCGCCCGATACTGTAAAGCGCAGGCGAATTAATTCAGGAGAGGGCTCCGTCGCGGCGCCCCTCTCGTGGCGCTCAGCGCCATCCGTCACCGCGCGCCCTCCTCCCCGGAGCCTCGCGCCCCTCCCCGGCCCCCGGGCGCCACTCACCTTCCAGGTTGGCCATGGAGAAGCGGTAGCTGTCTATCCGCGGGGTGTTGAGGTCCGCCGAGGACGGCTGCCTCAGCTGGACGGGCTGGTCCAGGCCCTGCAACAGAAACAACAAGACGGCGGACATGAGTACGGGGACGTTCAACAAGCTCAACACGTTTGGCAACACATAACAATTCAACTGCAAAAAAAACAAGCAGGCCCGCCCTTCCGCCAAACGCAGTTGCCAGCTCCACTTCGCTGCGCCGGCAACTCCGTTCGGCAGGGGCCGGTCCTGCTTGGCCTGCCGGCGGCGATGGTCGGGCCTGCGGCCCGACCATTTCAGTCCCGCGATTTACTGAAGATCACAACCAAATAAATAATGTGACCGGTAAAT